CTATCTATCTATCTATCTATCTATCTATCTATCTATCTATCTATCTACCTACCTACCTACCTACCTAGATGGAAGCATTTAAGTTGGAAAAAAAAAGGCTGGGATGATTATTAATCCAAGTGGAACAGTCTACCTGAAAAGAAGAATCTGGATACTTTTTTTTTCTGAAAAAGACGGGAAAAAGGAAGGGCTGCACTGAACTCCCAGAGGAACTACTGAAAAAGCAGGCTTCGAAGCATGAACTTCTTCAAATAGTGATAGTAAGCCAAGGACTAACTTCACCTTGCTGCTACTACTACTACTGAGAACAAGCAAGGCACCAGGAATCTCTCTTAATAGGCCGAGGCCTTTCGGCACGGGTGACCGTGAGAAAACGGGACGCAGAGCAGCGTTAAGAGAGAGAGCAGAGAAGGAGGGGAACGAAGGCAGAAGCCACCGGGGTTTGGAAAGGCTACCTTAAGGCGATACTGTACTGGTCCATGGCTTCCTGATATTCGTTGACCGCCACCAGGAAGTCTCCCAACATCCGATGGAGGATGCAGTCGCTCTGGTTAGCCAAGGCGTTGCGGAGCAGAGCGATCCCGTCATCGTACTTCTGTTCTCGGCCTGTCGGGAAAGGGAAATTAAAAGCAGTCCAACAAATAGTTTGCAAGAGCCGGTTTGGTCTAGTGGTTACAGCACCAGGCTGTAGGAGGCGGCGAGGCAGGAGACGGGGAGTTCAAGTCCTGACTTAGCCCTCAAAGCCAGCCGGGTGATTTGGGGGCCGATCACCAGGAGACGGCGAGTTCTAGTTCCACCTTAGCCATGGAAGATCTATCTAAGGGCTGGGCTTCATCGGTCAGCAAAGGCAGAGAGGGGGAAGCTGACTCACTGAGAAGCTCCGCCTTCTTGACCACAGCTTTGATGTAGTCGGGGCGCTGCATCAGGGCCTTGTCCAGCAAGGTCTTGGCCTTCTCCTGGGCCACGGGATCCTCCAGGCAAACGGTGGCCAGAAGCGTCAACGTCTGAGCGTTGGCTCCCAGGGTCTTGTAGACATTGTTGGCCATCACGGTGGCCTCACGGAGGCCGTTGGAGGCCAGGTAGCACTCGATGAGACCTGAAGGGGCGGAAAAGAGGTGGATGAAGAACCAGCGAAAAGGAAAGGAAGGTTCTTCAGCAACGGTACAAGGAGTAGAAAGCTCAAAGCTTCAGAGATGTCTCCAAAAGGCAACTGGACTTCCTTGGTTTTTTTCCCCTTGAAAATGTTTCGCTTCTCCTCCAAGGAGCTTCTTCAGTTCTGGAAGAAGCTTCTTGGATAAGAAGCGAAATGTTTTCAAGGGAAAAGAAAACTCAGTTTGCCTCTTGAAAAAGCACCTTTGGGACAACCATGGACGATTGAGAATCTCCAGAGATCTTCAGAAGATGTCTACCAATCTCTTCCCAGAAAATGCTCAGTGTGATATGTAAAATTATACCCGTGAAATGATAAAGCAATGGTAACGCCATTTTTAACCTCTGTGTTAACCTAAGATAATTTACTGGAATATTATGTAAGAATTCTCTATTGTTTTGTATAAAGGTTACATATTTGGCAGGTTACGCTGACCAGTGTCATGTTAACGATGCAAGATTACTAGAAATGGAAACGGGTTAAACAGGACGAGGAAACGGATGTTATGCTACAATAACAGGGGTGTTGCATAGCTGGATATATGTAGTTGGATAGATTGTGAACCCGGAAAGAGGCAGAGACTGTATATTTGGACCTGTCTATAACCAGAGCCCTCCTGGGGGAAATGTTTTCTGCCCAAGGGCAGGGTTCCCCTTCGCAAAAGCTTCACGATAAAGCTCTTCAATATTGTTCGCGTGTCTCCAGTGTCTCCTGAATGGCTGATTTTTATCACACCCAGAAAGGGGGAAACCCAAAGCCTCCATTCCCCACCCGGCGGGGATTTCGAGGCGTCTCAAAAAATATTCACCTCGCGGAAGTCTCGCTCACCTTCGTAACAATCCAGCCTGCACGGGGCCAGCCGGATTGCTTCGCGGAAGTGGATGATGGCCTCCTGCACTCTGCCCATGTTCCGTAGAGCGGCCCCTTTCAACAGCAGGGCCTGGACGCTGTTACTGTTGAGCTGGATGGCTTTGGCCCCCAGGTACAAGGCCCGCGAGTAGCGCTTGCTGTAGAAGCTGTGGCAGCTGCAGGAAAGGAGGAAGGGGGACGCCTGAAAGGGAGCTCGGGTGGATTCTGAGCGCTTGGAGAGAAAGAAGGAAGGGCGGCTGTTACCCTGAGACAACCCAAGGCTCGGCGTGCTGGTCAGAGATGTTGAACAGCCGGCATCCGAGGTTTTCCACATCCTCAAGGCGACCCTCCCGAGCCAGTAAATAACCGTAGACGTCCATTCCTGAGGAACGAGGAAATTAAAAGAAAAAAGACAACATCGGAAGAACCATAAAAACCCACACAAAAGCGCCACCCACTTATTTCATCTGGAGAGATCCCGGGGGCCAAATCCGTCCACCTCTTTGCAACTAAGGTGCACTAACGCAGCGAAGATTTGTCTCTTTTCGGTCATGCGGTATTTGGAAATGCCAGGGAAGGGTTTGGAGATCTACTCTGCGCCCCCCGGCCCCCTTTCATGGGTATGCCAATTTGCAAAACGATAAAACTGGAACTCTCATTTATTAATTTAGTGTTTACGTGGAAAACATTAACCTTCGTGTTTTATTCGTTATCCCTGAATAATCCTTGCCCAATACAAAATGTAAACAGCTATTAATGGTTTGTGCAGTAGGCAGCACGCAGAATAGACTAGACTAAGGGACCTTGGAGGTCTTCTAGTCCAACCCCCTGCCCAGGCAGGAAACCCTACACACCGCTTCAGACAAATGGATATCCGACATCTTTTTAAAAACCTCCAGTGTTGGAGCATTTACAATTTCTGGAGGCAAAGCTGTTCCACTGGTTAATTTAAAAAAAAAAACACTTTATTGATTACAAAACCAAAATATCAAACAAACACAACACGCAGAAGAAGAAAGAAAAGAAATAGAGAAAAAGAAAATGATTAAAAAATGGTTAATTCTTTTTTAACTGTCAGGAAATTTCTCCTGAGTTCTAGGTTGCTTCTCTCCCTGATTAGTTTCCACGCTTTGCTTTCTTGTCCTGCCTTCAGGGGCTTTGGAGAATAGCTCGAGCCCCTCCCTCTCTTCTTTGGGGCAGCCCCTCAGGCATTGAAAGACTGCTATCATGTCACCCTTAGCCCTTCTTTTCATTAAAATACCCAGTTCCTACAACCGTTCTTCATATGTCCTAAGAATTCTCCTTTCTGCTAAGGTATCAGTGTTCAATGGTACATATTCTTTCAACCATTTAAAACTGAGATTTTAGTCATACGCCGAATTTCTGTGAACTCGTGAGCATCATGAATTTGCTCCAATTCTTCTTTCATCTAATGGCACCGCCATTATCAACAGAGTGTCTCTGTTTTATCACGGCGGCAATCGCTCTTGGAAGCAAGGCCCAAGGATGTCCAAGTGGCCGATTTCTAATGCTTGAAAACTGCAAACTGAATGAAGAACCCCAAGGAGTTGTCCTTCTTTTGAGGAGCTTTACCTTTTATCAAATACGGATCCAACATTTGCGCCTGTTCAAATTTTAGGATGGCGTTCTTGTTGTCCCCGGCTCTGAAATACAGGTCTGCTAAACTGCCCAATATATCCACGTTATCCCTCAAGAGTGACTTTTTCTCCAGCGAGCTGTTTTTGGGAGGGAAAAAAAAACAGAAATGGGAAAAATAGGATTTGTTGTAAAACAATATTCTAAGGATACCTATCTCAGTGGTGGCATTCACATTTCTTTGCTACTGGTTCTGTGGGCGGGGCAGGGAAAGGATATACTGCAAAATCCCCCTTCCTTCCCCACCCCACTAACCTGCTTTCCAGCTCCATTCTCCTGTGCAGGGCAACCAAAGGAGACCCAGCCTATCAGCTGGGACTCAATGGGAGGCAGAGAAGAGATGGGGTTGGCGGGGCCAGTCAGAGGTGGGATTGGCTGGTTCTCTGAACTAGGGTTCTGTAGAACCGGTCAGAACCGGCTGAATCCCACCTTCGACCTATCGCTAATGAATGAAAGGATGGGAACTTCCGTAATCAGGGGGAAAAAATAAAAACACATTCTAGATTTTACACTTCACGTTTTGGTGCCAAGGACTTCTGCATCCCAATCGGATTCAACCACCGGCCTCTCGATCTCGGCACTCACCAGATGGTGTTGATGGCTCTGGTGTTGTCGCCCGTGTGCACAAATGCGTACGCTTTGATCCACACCGAAAGCCAATCCAGATTCGGGATGCTCTGAATGACATTCATGGTCAAGGAAGCCACCTCCGCGCCCTTCACCGAGAGTGACAGCAAGCCTACGTGAAGACAGATCGTGGTTAATCTCCTGATCTCCAAAGAGAGTAAGGCACAAGTACATTACGCTCGCTTGGAAACATTCCACCATCCCTTCCCCGAGAATTCTGACACTCGGCCACATCTCAACGTCAAACAAGCCAACTTTACTCCTTCCCAAAGGCGAGAAGCAACGGAGGAGGAAGGGGAGTGGAGAGCTACCTAGAATGGCATCCAGAGCCAGCGGGCACTGCCTCAAAACCTCCTTGTAACTGGTCACTGAGGAACGTTCTTGGCCTGTCTTCTTGTACAGGCTGGCCAGCATCATGTTAATCTGCAAGAGAAAGGCCAAAATAACCCCAGCAAAGCTTTCAACCAAGAGATCACCACCACCCAAGGCCCAGGCAACTCTTGAAGTTTGGCAGCAAAGCGATGTCCTTGTGTGTGAGTACTGCGCTCAGTTTTGGGCAGCACATTACAAAAAAGATGTTGAGACTCTAGAAAAAGTACACAGAAGAGTAAAGAGGATGATGAGAGGATTGGAGACTAAAGCATACGATGAACGGTTGCAGGAACTGGGGCATGGCTAAGTGAAGGACCAGGGGAGGCATGATCGCAGCCTTCCAATATTTGAGGGGCTGCCACAGGGAGGAGGGGGGGGGTCAAGCTATTTTCTAAAGCTCCTGTAGGCCAGACAAGGAATAACGGATGGAAACGGATCCAGGAGAGATTCAACCTGGAAATAAGGAGAAACTTTCTGACAGGGAGAACCATCAACCAGTGGAACAGAAGTTGCCCTCAGAAGTTGTGGGAGCTTCATCCCTGGAAGCTTTCAAGAAGAGTCTGGACTGCCATCTGTCAGAAATGGTGTAGGGTCTCCTGCTTGGGCGGAGGGTTGGACTAGATGACCTACAAGGTCCCTCCCAACTCTGATGATCTGTTAGCGTCTCAGGCGCCAGAAAAAAAAAAACCCGCCCGGCTTCAATCCACGGAGAGGAACCTACCTTGGCGGTTCTCTGCCTGGAAGGGATGCCATCAAGGACAGCGATGGCGTCTTTGTCTTGCTTCAACATGGTGTAGCACTCAGCCATTTTGTATTTCACTTCTATTTCAGAAGGCAGACACTAGGGAGGGAAAAAGCAGGCGTATCTTTAGCATTTAATGGTTTGGGGGCTCCTGGAAGCAACAAGATTTGCCCTCAGTTTAAAGGCAGCAATTTCTGAGAAGCCGAAATTATGCCAGAGGAGCAAAATTGGAGAATGTCCCTTTTCTGTGTCACGGCATCCGTTCTTGGTTGGTCAGATGCCAATCAGGTTGGTCTCAACTCATAAAAGAGATCACTTTTGGGTTCCCTCAGCTCCGTTCTGAGCAATCCCCAGGTTTAAAGTTACTTTATTTTCAGTGTTTTTGAGCGGCCATGTTGACTGACCGATGGGCAGTCGTGAAGAGGAAAAAGACCACGTTCAGCCAGTCAGCCCCCCAAAAAGGACACAAGGACAACAGAGTAACGGATGGAGATTGATCAAGAAAAGATCCAACCTAGAACTAAGGAGAAATTTCTCGACGATGAAGAATGAACGAACCAGTGGAGCCTCCAGAAGTTGCTGGCGCTGCATCACTGGAGGTTTTCTAGAAGAGACTGGACAGAAGGCTAGAGGGTCTCCTGCTTGTGCAAGGGGTTGGATTAGAAGACCTCTTGAGGTCCCTTCCAACTCTGTTATTCTGAGCTGTAGGAAGGGGCTGACCTCCTAAACCAGAGGTCCCCAAACTTGGCCACTTTTAAGACTTGTGGACTTCAACTCCCAGGATTCTCCAGCCAGCATCGCTGACTCTCTTGCAATCCCTTCCTCTGCAATCTCTCTCCACTTTAGGAGATTACGAGAGAGAAAAAGCAGGCATGGCTACCTGGGGAATTCTGGGAGTTGAAGTCCACAAGTCTTAAAAGTGGCCAAGTTTGGGGACCCCACAGTCATGGTTCGACCCTGGCAGGTGGGCTACGCACCCACCTGGCTCTGGGGAGCGGAGGCTGTGCTTCCGGTGGAGGGTCGGACTTTGGAGGTCTTGCTCAGGGCCTTCTTCTGCTGGAGAGCCATGGTGTACTTGCTGACGGCGTTGCGGTACTCTTTGTCGTGGAAGAGGGAGTCCGCGTGGTGGACCAGCAGCTGGTACTTCTGCGAGGGGGAGAACAGCTCCCTGCAAAGGAAGGCAAATCGCACTCCGAGTCAGCCTCTTCCTGGCACTCCCTCCCCTGCACACCCACCCTGCGAGGTAGGCCAAGCCCAGAGGAAAATGGAGGAGGAGCAGCAGCCTCTGGTTTCCTTCTTTCAGCTGGGCTAACATACTACAAGTCCCATCTTCCCCAGCCCCACGAATCACCACCTCACCGGGTTTGGTGCCTTTCCTGCCTCGATTCCCTATCCCATCCTCCTGAGCCAACCTCCCATAGTGTCTCAAAGAGCAGTGCTTCTCAACCCCGGCAGGTTGAAGATGGGGGGGTGGGGGTGGGGGCAGAACTCCCATCATTCCCAGCCACCGCATTCGCCAGACTGCCGCCAACCCTGCTTAGATTCCCGATCCCATCCTCCTGAGCCAGCCTCCCATAGTGTCTAGATTAGAGCAGTGCTTCTCAACTTTGGCAGCTTAAAAAATGGGGGACGACTACAACTCCCAGAATCCCCCCCCCACCAGCCAGCCTGCAAGCAAAGCTGGGAATTGTAGTCCCTCCCCACCTTCAAAGCTGCCAAGGTTAAGAAGCACTGCTCTGGAATCTCCACGCCCATCATCCCCAGCCCTATAGCAATCGGAGGATGTGATTTCGCACGCCCCCCACCCCACCCCGGGGCCGATCGCTGCGTGGTCTCCTTTCCCCGCTTCCCCTCACTCACGGGTTGTTGCCGCTCATGGTGAGCAGGAGGCCGCTGAGCAGCCGCACGTTGGAGTGGAGCCCGGCGGCCGCCATCTCCCGCACATGGTCCACGACGCTCATGGCGGCGGAGAATCGAAGCGGCGGAGGCGAATTCGGCGAAAAGTCTCTAAAATGGCGCCTCCTCGAGGGGTCCTCGCGCCGAGGGCGGCCATGACACCTCCCGCCACGCCCCCTCGGTGGGGCTGTCTAACTCCCGCCTGTCGAAAAGAAAAAAAAAAATCCAGGAGCGCCCGCTTTTTCCACACCAGGAAAGGCGCCACCGCGCCGAGGGTTTCACTCTCCTCTTCTAAAAAATAAATACATCCGCGTGCGATTTTTATCGTTCGTATAAATCGGGGAGGGTTTACATCAGGCACCGGGGTAGTCACTTCGCTCTAAACCGGCCTAGGAAATAGGAAACGGGAGAACGGTATCTTCTGAGCATGCGCGAAAGTGCACCTGCTTCCTTGTTTCTCGCCTCCTTCGCCAACCGGGCGCCCTCAGCACCGTGTTGCAAGGTCTTCATAGATAATTGTAGACAGGCATCGTTGGGTCGTACCAGATCCTTGGCAAGATATTTTTATTTAAAAATAAATGAGGATGGGAGGGAGGTAGAACATTTTGCCCCTTATAGCAATGGGCTATTTACTGCTAAAGCAACAGAGCTGTTATTTATATATGTATTTAATAGATTTATATGGCTCCCAACTCAGAGAGGGAGGCTATGTGCACCTTTTATGCACGTTTTCTTGGACACAATAACTTTTGTGTGATGCAATTGTTGGTATGCTACTTTTTTTGCCCAGCGATCCTTGCATAGGACTTAAATTTCAGAGCAGATATATCCTGCAAATCTATTAAAATGCCTTCTGAACATCACCTCCCTTACTATAATTCTCAGCCATGAAGAATAATATTAGAGCTCTTCTGAATTCAGAGAAAATACAGACAAAACAGCATTAGAAAGAACTTTTGTTTTTATTATTATCGAGCTTGACAAAAATTGCACATGATTGGTTTGTTGTTGTTTTTAGCTCCGTCATTCCTCCCGTCAATGGCCTGGCGTCCAGAAACACCTTTTCTCTTTCGGTAGAAAACTTATATTAAAACAGAAGCAATAATTCAAAGACCCCTGGGAACAGAGAAGGCTGTAACTAAAGATCTAACCGTTGTCTTCACTGTCCTGGTCCCGACAGGCTTTTATTCATGAATTGCCTTTTCACAAAACAGGTCCACCACTAAGAGAGAACAAGAGAAGCTAAGTAACAGCAGAAAAGCAGTTATCAAAAAGCACAACAGATTTTCAAGACCCAAAGGTCGCAATGAGCAAACTCGATGCACTTTTGAAATATACCTAATATTTCAACTATTTTTCTGTTCTTTTCTTTAAAAAGCAACCTGTCTTGAACAGAGCCAAAGCCGAAACAGCCTCTCACCTTGCTGGGTTTGTCACTCTGAGGATCAAAAACCTTTTCGCAAAGCCTCAAGCCGGTTTCTTGCCTTAGTTGCTGCAAATACCCCCGCATAATCTCTGAAAGTAGGAAGGAAAGAGCACAGCTAGAAACAGATCCCATCAGAGCGCTTGTAAGTCAAAGAACGAAAGTTTAAGATCTTTTCCTTTTTCCCAAACTACCAGCATATCATTCCAATGTTATGCCCAGAAGCGAGCTGTGCAAAACTCAGGTGTTCTTATATCTAGCTAGCCACGTTTATGAATGAGATTTGGCTACACTAGCTTGCAATTTTCCCCTTTTTTTTCTACCCCCAACCTGCTTACCTTCCTCCTGCTTGTTGCTGGGTCTGGCATAAAGGGCATTCAGTGGGAACCCCGGTTCTCCGGGGATCGGGAAATTGGTGATCCCCAAAGTATACATTTCTTTTTCCCCCTGGCCTTTGGAATTGCACTGAAAACAAAATCAAAATGAAAATAAAAACCAATTTCAGTAAATTTTCTCTCTGAAATAAAACTTCTTAGGCTCTGTTTAGGGGGGAAAAAATGTCCCAATCATCTTACAATTTGCACTATATTTTATTTTTTGGGATTTCTGAGCTCATTTTTTTTTTTACTTAAAAAAGGCGCTGTTTTTTATCTCAAAGCACCGCAAAACCCCTAGACCCTTACCTTCTGCAGCTTTTTCAAGCACTCCGAAATATAGAGAGTTATGTAGATCAAAGTTCGGTCAGCCTCATTCTGCAAGAAAGGAAGAATTTAAGATGGAATATCAAGTCCGCTTTTTCCCCTCTCAATTCAATTTCAATCCAACCTTTATTGTCAATGAGTACGATGTGTACAGTGAGATTGGCTGAGCCTCCTTTAGTGCACACACACCCAGCATAAATACATAACTCACAGTGAAAAAGAAAATCCCTAACCTAAAAAAATCATACTAACAACACACAATCCTCTATAATAACTTTATTTTATTTTATTTTATTTTTCCCTTTAATCTCTCACCGAGGGACTTGGGAGAACAATTTTTTAAGACCCACTCCCACTTACCTTAATTTCATAATTTTTAAAGAACACATTGGCTTTGAAGTAGTAGATGGCTTCATCAATTATGTCTGTATCTTTTGCTGGTGAGAAAGAGGGAAACCCAATGTCTTTTGAGTCATCATGAAAGAAAGAACATTTCCTAAAAATCACCCACAGACTTCTCCTTACAAGGAAGCTGTTGCCGCACAATATATTCATTTATTATTATTAACACTTCTGTGTCATGCAAAAAAAAACACCACCACCAGGGGATCAACCATGACACAATGACAGTATCTTATGTTATAATAAAGGTACTGACCCACAGGAGGGGATGCAAAAATCCAAAATATCCCCAAATAATCTCTCTTAGAACCAAGGATTTTTCAAGCCATAGGATTAGCTGGCTGGGGAATTCTGGGAGTTGAAGCACACCCAGCTCAAAGTTCCTAAATTGAGGAGTCCAATGTTGGGGACAACAATACGCTCAAGGAGATTGATCCACTTACTTTCACGAGGAGCCGGCCCTTTGAACTGACTCCTGATGGGCAGCAGAGCCATGTTCCCCACGAATTTGGTGTCGGGGTCCATCAAAGTTGAGTGATAGGCCTGTCACGGAAAATAGGGGGGGGGTTGGGTTGATTGGCAGCGGAGGAGGACCATGCACGGATCTCCTTAGAAACCATCACCAGATCTGCTTTGAGAGCATGAAAAGCAACTAGAAACGTTGAGGAGGGTCGGCAACTTACGGCCCACCGGCTCCAACCTGCCCCCCCGCCCACCCACCCCAAATTAACCGCAGTCCAGAATTTTGTTCCTTATTCAAGGGGGAGAAACAGGGAGCCCCTCGTTCCACCGGCTACTCCACCACCAGACTGGCTATATTCTAACCTTGGAGGATTGACCTTTTTTGGGCAGGAGCTCCAGCCTGGTGCCCCCCACCAATGTCCTAACCCCGCATACCCTTCCTCTACAAGCGAGGGACAGAAATGGGAGTTATGGGGTGGCCCCCCTGCCCCTGGAATCCCCCCCCACCCCTCATAGCCCCCCCCCACCTCCTGGCATCCCCCTGCCCCTCCTGGCAGCCTCCTGGCAGCCCCCCCCCCTTCCTGGCAACCACCTGCCCCTCCTGGCAGCCCCCCCCTGGTTCCTGGCAGCCCCCCTGCCCCTCCTGGCACCACCCCACCCTTATTTCTAGAGAAAGATGGAAAAAGTGGGGCAAGCCCCCAACAACTCCCCCCCAAAGAGAAACAGGGGTTGGGCTGAAATGGGTGGGGTGGGAGGGCAGGCAAGACTCCCCCCCCCCCCCCCCCACCTGCCCCCCCCCAATGACAGGCATGTTCACTTCCTCCTGCTCCCCCCACCCTGGCGAGCAGGCAAAGCACCACCACGCACCCCGAAAGACACACTCGGCTTTTGTGTTAACTTGTGTTAACTCCTCATCCTCCTTCCTGCTTTCTTCCACATCCCCACCCTCCAACACACACACCCCGCACCCAGCCAGCCTGCAACGCCTCCGCCTTTGCAAGCCAGCAGCCCCTCCAGGCGACCTCCCGGGCCGGCTGCTCCTTCCCCTCACCGGCATCTCGGCGGCGGCGGCGGCGGCGGCAGAGGAGGCTCCTCCGGGCAGGGAAGCAGCTTCGGGCGAGGCGGCGTCGGCGGTGCAAAGGCGGCCCCGCTTCCTGCCTCCCGCCCCGCTTCCTCTTCCAGCTGCGCGCGGCCGGCAGGGGGCGCCGGAGGACAGCGGAGCGGGCCCGGCCTCGGAGGGCTTCGACTCCCGGCGTGCCTCGGCCGGCGCAGAGGCTTGTGGGAAGTGAAGTCCTGCACATCTGGGGCTGCTCAGGTGCTGCAGGCCAGACTGAGCGTAGAAACCTCTGTAAAAAATGAACCAGGCAAGTTTTCTGGAGTTTGGGAAGCTCCCCCTTGAAATTCAGCAAGGAAATACATCCTTGGACAGATAGCCATAGTAATAATAATAATAAAATAATTAGTAATAAATAATAATAAATGATAATAATAAAGTAATAAATAATAACAAAGTAATAAATAATAAATAGTATTATTATTACTATTACTATTATTATTACTATCATTATTATACACAAAAATGACAGTGTACACAGCAAACGAGGTGACTGTGCTGGGTTTTGTATCACAAATCACTAGTCGATCACTTCCCAAGCGTTTAGGACTGCGTGATGCATTGGCAGATTATGCGAGCAGATCCCAGTAAGAGGATTATGAGGATGATGATATTATTGTTTATGAAACTTGTAGGTCACCCAATTTTCAATGACTGTCCAGGCAGATGTTCAGCCTGGATTTGCCATTTTTGTTCACTTATTGAGTCCTTCCCAATCCGGAGGCTGTGGGTTCAATCCTAGGTAGAGATGGATCTTTCTCTCTGGGCACACTGAGACTGTATTGCTGAACAAAACTCCGCCCTGGTGACAGGAAGGGCATCCAGCCAGGAAACACTATGCTAAGCTCCGTTCAGTTACCCAGATTCCACCCGCAAGGGATTATGGGGTCGTTAAATGATGATGATCATGGAGTCCTTCCTAAGGCAGATGTTCTTGTTTAATATTATTAAAGGTATCAGTATAGGATTATTATCATTACTAATTGTAAGCCACTTGATTCTCAGTGAGTTTGGGTAGCTCACACAAATGACAATAAAAACAATATTTTTTAACAAAATTAACAAGTGCCATGAACCTTTTCCTTCACCAGGATGAAAATGTTTTTTGGATCCTCTTTTCTGGCCTCCTGGTCTCTAAACAGGGACCGTGGGAGGTCAAAGTTATACCTGTTGAATTTCAGTCTGCACATGGCTGCCACAGTACTATAAATTATGTCAAGGCAAACCTGATGTTTCTTTTCCGTTTACTCAGAAAGCCACCAAGAGGGAGAAAAACGAAACTCAATAATTTATTTCTTACAATGCATACTTAACGTCTTCCAAAAATAAAACTTTGTGGCGTAATCCAACGTTAAACCCCTTGTGGGCAAAAGAGCCCTGTTCTTCGATTGCTCCCAACAGTTTGTGAATTTCGAAATGCAGCATCAAAAAATGTTAACACCCTTTTCTGTGCATTCGAATGAAATCGAAAACTGTCATTCGTCCACTCCATCCTGGAAGAATTCATCAAAAGCTGAAGATTTCTCTTCCTCTTTTTCCTGTAGAAAATACATTTCATTTTAGAATGATTGAAGCTTGCACAGCTACCCAAAACAAGAGAAAAAGACAACGGGGCTTATACTGCAACTGTTCCTTATCAAACCAAGATATGTGTCCTTCTAGATAAACTAATCCAGATTTCTACATGACGCTTTGCATCAGGGCAGGAAAAAAAAAATTAGTCCAGAATAAGGCTCCTGCACTCAGGTTACTTACTTACACAGGTTATTAAAACTGTGTGTGTCTGTGCTACTTTGTTAGACACAAAAACATTGAATCAGAGAATTGGAAAGAACCTAAAAGGTCTTCAAGTCCAACCCCCAAAACACTGAATTTACACCGACCCTATTATCTACCCCGTATGAAAATTCCCAGTGAGGAGGAAAGTACTCTTCCCACAGTCACCCATTCCACTTATTTTTATATATATCCTTCAAGTTTATCCCACAAGGCAGCACACAGAGCTCCCTCTCCTCTTTTCCCCTGCACAACCACCTTGTGAGGTAGGACAGGCAAAAATACACCGATTCTCCCAATCTTATTCACTGGGCTTTCACACAGATTGTGGCAGGAATGGAATTTGGAGTCCCCTTGCCTTAATCCAGTGCCTTGATCCTGCAACCCCACGGCTGGCCTGGGACAAAGTAAGCATCCCATCGCCAACCATTCCTGCTTGACCACTTTCCATTTTGAGAAGCAGCTTTCAGGCAGAGAGTTCCAATCCTGACTCCATTTTTTGTTTTTTAGCTGGATCCAGACTGAATTTCACAGGTGCCAAAATAACCCACATCTGATTGAACTAAGATGGATTAGAATTGTGTGTGTGTGTGTGGATCCTTAAGGAAAATGGCACCGGCTTTTGCCAAGAGGGCGTGGCACCTTCACCTTTGGCTCTTTAAATTCCAGGTCTTCCCCGTATTGAATGGCAAAATCGATGTGCTGCAGGACGATATTGATGCTCTCCTCGTCGGAGCGATCGAGCGGCAGGAAGCGAACCATGCTGTAATCATCGATCTAAACGAAACACAATGCCCTCAGTCCGTTCGAAGAGAAAAAAAACTGGATCGGTTGTTGTTGACCTCAACCTTAGCACAACGGATTGTCTTATTCAGGATTTGGGAACTGCCTTTCCCCGCTTTCCACAAATAAGGGCGCTATTAATTTGGGTTAGAGAAAGGCTTCAGGATGCCATGCGCGGAAAGAAACACCTGCCACTTACCAAGCCACAGATAGCTTTGGTTAATTTCTTAAACTGCCGGCTTTTGAGCAGATCTGTGGAATCATCCAAGGCAGAATACATGTCAGGATCCAGATATCTGGAAGAAATTGAGTAGATTCATTTAAACCAACACAAACATTAATGATAGCTTTAATCATTTCTTTCTCCTCCCCGTCCCAATTTCTCTTCCCTGTTTGCTTTTTTCCAAAAAAAATGTACAGTCAAATGAAGCTGAAGACCGAAACCAACCTTCTCAGTGTCAAAATCCCAGGCAAAGTGGAACTATTCCTCGTTCACACTTACTTTTCGATCTCGCTTTTTGCTTTCTTGCTCAGCAGATCCATCTTGGACATGACGTTTATCTGGGAGATCTCTAAGGAAACCATAGCACTAAGAGCTGCCATCGCACCAGAAATAAACTACCATCAGAAGGAGACAGGAAAAGAAAAAGAAAAAAAATCACACAAAATCCGTGTATGCTCCATTCTCCAATATGTCACTCATTTAATGCCCATTTAATGCCTCCAAACGCAAACAGATGATAATTCTGTCACCGTACAGGACAAACTGAAAAATATCTTGGTGATTGTCCATAGCATGGGGTTTCAATTTCCAACTCCTCTGAATCCATAAGATACCTTAAAAGATTCCACCATGAATTGAGAATCGACAAGGAAAACACCGCAGACATGGAATTCCCACTGTTGCAGCTTCTCTACAAACTGTTTCATCACCGGCAAGTGAGTGTAGAGTTCAATCTGACCTAAAAAGGAGAAATAAGTTTATTCATTTCAAGTATCCGTCTCCCAATTCCACAGAAGAAAATCTCAAGGAAGATATTTAAAACTAGGGGAAAAAAATCAGATATCAAAACAAAAACAATCACAGACTGACTGGGGATTTGTGTGTGCTGGAGAAACCAGAAAGAGATAAACTCTTTGACAGTCATAAAATGAGATATATCTTCCCTCTCTGCCTTTTTTTTTTATCATACCCAAGTTTACCGATTTCTTCCACATTAAAATTTCAAGGCCACACAGTGCCAGAAAGATTACAGCCACTTAATTTCCATAGCTTTGGATTTCTATTTATTAAATAAAATGTAATACGTTTTATCAAACTTATTTACTTATTAAAGTTTTATGCTGTCCATCCATCTCCCCTATAAGGGATAAATTAAAGCCCCTTGTTAAACTTACAATCAAACAAAATAAGCATCAAGCATCCTTCATCCGTCATCTAAGAATCCAGAACATTTATCCTACATTTTTCCTCGGCTTACCTGGGCAATCGAACAGGATGTAATCATCTTCCACGTGACCGAGGCATTCTTCCAGCCAATCAAAATTGTTTGCAAAATATTCCATGCAAAAAACTAAGCCGCCGTTGGGACCGAACCTGAGGGAATCATCCTCCATGACGTCGTCCACCTCAATCAACTCTCGGATATCTGCAAGGCAAAAGAAGGGAGACCAAGAGGTGTCATCATTCCGGGCTCATCTCAGGGGAATTGTGGGAAAGGATGCTTGGACTCAAAGAGTGCGGTATGGTGGCCTAGAGGTGGAGCTCTCGCCTCACAATAAGTAGGCTGTGAGTTCGATCCTTGGCAGAGGCAAATATTTTTCTCTCTCCGGGCACAATGAGAATTTCTCTGCTGAACAAAACTCCGTACTGGTGACAGGAAGGGCATCCGGCCAGTAAACACTCATTTCCATTCAGTTACCCAGACTCCAGCCTGCAAGGGATGATGGGATTGTTTCGTCATCATTTGATGATGATGATGATGCTTGGAGTCAAAGAATAGAATAGAATTCTTTATTGGCCAAGTGTGATTGGACATGCAAGGGATTTGTCTTGGTGCAGATGCTCTCAGTGTGCATAAAATGAAAAGATACATTCGTCAAGAGTCAAGAATCATCAGGTACAAGGAATCCAGGTGGATAAATTCTGACGAGCTGCTTCTCCCTCAACCCAAATAAACCCACTGAGTTTATGTTGGTCCCTTAAAGTCCTAGGTAACTCTCAGTTTTAGAAGGGGGGAGGGTGTTGGGACATCCTTACCTGCCATGACATCGTAGTCAAAGTGTTCCGCTGCTGGATCCAGGTTCACCACCTGCACCGAACGGTTGAGGGTTTCACAGTGCTGGACCATGATGGAGCAGTAGGTGCTCTGGAAGAGGAGAGGCTCGGTTGATGGAGGGGCTGCTGCAACCCACCTACCCGCTTCCCAGGATCTCAGGGTGGCTCCTCACCAGGAGCCCTGCCCACAAGGGAGGGAAATAAAAGCACGGGTGGGGTGGGGTGGAATAAAGGGTGGATCTGGAGACAAGG